AGAGTAAGAATAAAAGAGTAAAGAGTTAATAGAGTCAAAGTAAGAATAGAATTAGAGTTTAAAGTAATAAAGAGCATAGTTAAACATATAATAAGAGTAGGAACATTGAGAGCATATTTTGATATATAACCATATCTATATCATCAGCATACATAAAATGAAACCAATGTTTGAACCTATTTCTGCAAGACCAGTATAAATAAAAAATGGTTTTTGAATCAGTTCAATAATTAAAATTCTATACTTTATTCTTCATAGTATTACCGGTATTATACCGGTATATTTTTCGGTATATATACCGGTATGGACGTCAGATACCGATAAAGTATATATGAAATTACCGGTATTGAACGTTTAATACCGGTATAAATAAAGGTTTACCAATTATCGGTATGTCACAATAACATCAAAACAGATACTGGTATGATACCAAAACCTATAAATATAACGGTATTCGGTCTCAGTCCTTAAGGGTTGCTGTGTCTCGCTGGCGCGTTTTCTCTCTCTCTAGACCTCCGCGCTTTCCCTTTTCACATGTAGCCCTGCATAAACATGGCCGCGCGACTCCCATCTCCACCCGACTCGAGGGTGGATCCGAGATCGATGAAGATTACCGATAGAAGGAGTAGGGCGCAACCCCCGATTGAACCAGGACAACCCGAAGGGAAGATCGGGAATCTTCCGGAGAAGGGAGAGAAGCAGCAGATCGAGCGAAGAATTTTCCAGAGAGTTCAATCGTAATCGAACCTCTGGTAACGAACTACGAAACGATTTAAACCAAACGAGTCAACTGAATAAACGTCTTTACTTTTTTCCTAAAAGTATTTTGAATTTTATTTTACGCGCCTCTCCAGGCAGAGCGGTTCAGCGTTAGAAATGGCTAGAACTGCTACTTGTGAATCACTCGTGATTCGATCACGTTCGTTGCCAATCACGGTGATTTTTCACAGTGATTCGTGATTTTTCGTGATCGCTTCTGATTAGTGAAGAACATAACCGTTCCTTGCACGCGTTGTTAGAATCTTCAGCCTACACCGCATAAAATAAAGTAAACTAAAGAATAGTAAATAAAAGAATGCTTTAATGAGGAATAGTGAAGAGTAATAAATATAAGTCAATAATTATGAATTGCAAGTCTTCGTTTAGTTGTAAGTGTCTTTAGACTTTTACAAAATGTAACAATATAATTAATACATAAAACATAATACGAATACTATAAATAAAATACAAAGAACAAAATAACAATGGAATAAAATATATATAATAACAAAATAAGTAACTATGTATTGCTGTTCAAGAATAATGGCATAGATAATTTCTCTACTTGCAATCCGTTTCTTTTTTCCGTTAAAAGTAATTCTGCTTTAGAAAATATTCTTTCGCATGGGACTGAAGTAGCCATCACACAAAATAAATGATTTACTAATTTACTTAATAAAGGAAATTGAAATTGATATTATATGTGGATATTTTATATTGAAATATTTTATAAAAAGTAATTTAATTAAGATCGAGAATTGTGATCACGCAATTCTAGCAAGATAAAAGAACTACGATCACGCTTGTGTATGAAATTAAATCACGATCACCCTCGTGAATGAAATTAAATCACCATCGTAATCGTGATTTTGCGATCACTGTGATAAATAACGGTTAGTGATTTTGCACGCCATCTCTATTCAGCGCTCCACGGGCACCTTACCCACGTCAGCAAATTCCCTATCATTGCACGACGCATTCCGCAACACACTATATTACAATTATTCCAAAATGTTCTCTTTGCGAATAATCATTTCATACGTAGTTTTAGCGGTTTAATTTAATTGGTAATAACTTACGCATGCGTTTTTGCAATTATGACATCTGCATTTAGAATTATATACATCAAAATGCGACTGTCACAAACTTCATGTCAAGCATGTGTATAAAATATAAATTTTAAGGAAGAAGTAATTACCGAGTTATAAAACAACAATTGTGGAAATGTACTCGACAAAAACACCTTCCTTAAGAATTGATGAAGCCGATCTTAAATGCAAAAATGGTTGTGGATTTTATGGAAACGCCGAATGGGAAGGTTATTGCAGCAAATGTCATCGCGAATATTTACAAAAACAAAGATCACAAAGATGCTCTAATGTTTATGAAGAGGAACATGATGCGTATGTTTATTAATAAATTTACAGTAGTTAATAAAAATTGTCTAGATTTGGGAAATATTTAATGTTTCATATAACGCATAAATTTTTAGAAGAAAAAGATTATTACTTTATAGTACCTACGCTGAATGAAAATAAATTCCAAAAACATTTCATATTCATGTTTTAATTTATTTATTACTATCAATTAGTTGAAAAATCATCTGTCATGGATTACACAACATCTGCAATAGTTTTAATACATAAGTAGTCTAGCATTAGCATTACATTATATGATATTACAAATAAAAAAAGTTGGATAAATTGAAATAATATGTGTTAGCTTATATTTTCTGTCGACTCACAGATTTCAAGTTTTGGAGTAACAATGTATAGTGCTTATTGGTATTGAAAATTACCGATAAAATATAGATAACATTAACATTTCAGCAATACTTCTAACAAGAGTACAATTAATGCTCAGCAGAAATATGAAGAGAAAAAAGTACAACAGGAGAAGAAGTACAAGTTATTAAATATATCTTTTCGCAAGCCAGTTGTAAAGGCGCAAGGATATCAAGAGTTGCTTTACGAACTAACAAAAAACAACTCTGATCTGGAAAAAGTTAAAGCAGAGAATCGTGAAGTAATAGCTGCAATCGCTAAGACACCAGTGGAAAGAGATGTCAGAAAATGTATGCATTCTTTTATCATCGATATACTCCAAAATAAGGATGTAAAAAGGATAGAGGACCTTTCAGAAATTACACAGACCTTTTATCAAGTATTTGCTAAGCGTCTAGAAAACAGTCCCAAATATGCAGGTATTGTAAGAACAAAAGCATAAATTTAAATAATTCAATTGAAAATTTGAACCAATTTTTGTGCATGCATATAAGTTAATTTATTATTTGAGTCTCATTTCAGATATATCGTCAGAAATTAAAGAAAAATTATTGGATTATGTAGAAAGATATGCAATGACATTACTTTACAGAATTCTCTTTTGCCCTCCTTTTACAACTGATGAGGAAAAGGATTTGGCAATACAGAAAAGGTTAATTTTATTTACAAATAAAAAGATAATTAAAATATTGCCTAGTCCTAAATTAAAATAAAATGTTTTTATAGAATCCGGCAATTGAGTTGGGTTAGTGGAAAAAATTTGGAGTGTCGAATTCATGAAACTAGTTCTGAAGTTAGAGAACTTGTCTATACTTCCATAACAGGTTCACGCATAAATCATTTAATATCTGAGTTTAAATATTGTCTAATTAATCCAATTTACATGTTTAATCCGTTACAGATTTACTGAACATGGATTCTGCAAAGGCTCCGCAAGAAAAGCTTTCTTGTGTTATTTATTGTTGTCGAAATATATTTCTAATGTTGCAACAATCCGTTGGTGGACCTGCATCAGCAGATGAATTTCTCCCTGCTTTAATTTTCATTGTCTTAAAAGCCAATCCTGCTCGTCTTAAGAGCAACATCAACTTTATAACTAGATTCTGTAATGCAAGCAGATTGATGACTGGGGAAGGTGGATATTACTTCACAAATTTGGTAAATCTTGTAATACTTATCTCGAATACTTTTTCTTATGTGAATAATATAGAAAATAATAATTCAAACAATATGTCATGTTACAGTGTTGTGCTGTATCTTTCATTGAAAATTTAACAGCAGAATCATTGAATATGGATGAAAAAGCTTTCAATGCTTACATGTCTGGAGAACAAGTACCAGCTAATACTTGGGAATCTGCTTTAATGATATGTGAGGTACATATTGAATTTTTTGGTTTATTGATATTAAATCAATTGATTATCTTTCATGTAATAGATATTAACTATTTACTCAGAGTTTGCACTTAATGTGTGAAGACATAACGCTCCTTGATGAAATGAAAGCAAAAACTACAGAAATAATGGATGAAACACTGAATTTAAAAGAAAAAATATTACAATTTCAAGAGGAAATCGAGTCAGAAGTAAATACAGTCTTGGAAAGAACTCCTTTGTTGATTGCGCACAGTCAAAGATTGCCTACTAATTTGGACTGCGAAGATATTGAAAGTTATCAGCTACCACCTCCAATTATTCCTCAAGTAAGTTATTGTTTAAAATTAATAAATTTGCAATAGTCAATTTCAATCATTTATTTCAGGTTTGTTCTACCACAATTATTAATTCCACACAACAAAACGATTTAAGAACAACTTCAATAGAAGATTGTGTTACGCCATCTCCTACATTTGATTTTCCTTCTTTCTTGGGGGATGACAGTTTTGATGTAAGCAAAACAGAGGATGAAACTAGTCTTATAAGTTTGGATACGCAATGTGATTTTGACAACCAGAAGGAAAAATCTAAAAACGAATTATTGTCGTCTACTCATTTGAATTTATCTTCTACTACAGAATCAGAAAGGGAAAATTATCATGGATTTACTGTTCAGGGTTCAAGTATACCGACAATTCCATGTAGTACTGGAGATTTATCTCTTAATTCTACAGAAATGGATTGTGAAAATTATGCAAGTTATTTTCACAATGTATAGAAATAACTTATTTAAATCAAATGTAAACTTTAAAAAATGTTGTTTAATCTTTAGAAATAGGTCATATAGTATCATTAAAGAAATATTCAATTCTAACATAAATAATTTAATTTATACAAAATATATAATTACAGCTAAATTAAAATATGAAATTCTAATTATCAATCAGATGTTAAAATGATACATATACAACTTATTACACAGTAATTACAAATGTAAATGATTGAGTAAAGTTTAATTTAAAAATTTTCTATTAGTTTTATATTACATATTACATCCTGGAGTAATACACTTAGATACCAATATCAGTACATCAATTTTTTCCAATACAAGCGTACAGGAAGTAAACTGTTTCTTTTCTGTAATCGTGTATCAAAAACATTAAAGTCTGACTTCCTTAATTCATTTAAATAAGTTTCCAAACAAACTATTGGTAAAAAAATCAAACCCGCATTTTTTTCCATTTTACTTTTAAGAGAAATTGCCTATAAACAACAAAGACATTTAAATTAATGTGTAAGAAACAGAATGCTATTTTTTCTTATCTTTTTTGTTATATTTAAATTCATTATAATTTCATTCAAAAAAAAAAATATTTACCGCATCTAAATGCAATTTCCCACAAGAAGCAATGTCAAATATCACATTTTTTAAATCCTTACTTGGTTCACCCTGAAACACTGCTTCTGTAGAAACACCATACTTCATTAAAATATCTTGTGGTAACATATTCACTCTTTTTTTGGCATTATAAGGAATCGATCGAATTAAGTTAACTATTCCATGTGCTTTGCCCATATGACTTGCAACATGATCTGCGTTTATGTTGGTTATACCATGTGCCTCCAATAATAAGTAATAAATGGAAGAAGTACTGTACTCTGCATATTTCTCTATTTCATTAATATTTTGAATTAGACTGTTGTTAAGTCTTTCTAGACGAGCATCAATTAGGCGTTTGAAATAATGTTTGGAAAGGGAACACTTCTGTAGAGTCTATAAATAATCATTACAAACATACCAATCTTTAATTACTATTGTACCGATCAATTCGTCAAACCGTAGAAGAAATAATCATACCCTATGTAATTCCAAAAAAACAGGACTTCTTGGAGGACTTCCCTTGTACGTATTACTTAATCCATCCGCCCAAAATTTTAATCTCATTTGTCCTATTTTATAATCGTGTACTTGATCTTGTACTTGAGCCACTTCCACATTAAACGCACGTATGGCAAATGCAGATGATCTTGCTGTACGTTTTAGTAACAATGTACATAAAAAATTTTCATAATCTAGTTTTCTGGGAAATATTAATAATAACATAATGGTAAGATATTGCAATTTTCTGTCATTTACTATTAGAATACCTTCTACAATTTGTAGCAACGCAACTTTCTTATATATTTCAATAGAACATAATCAAACGTTAATTTTATTTATGCTTCATAAAGTGAAAAAAAAATTAGGAATAAAATAATCAAAAGCTTTATTTTAATGACTTTAATAACATGTGAATAAATCATAGTCTTAAGATACTTTGTTCATTAGTTATAATATGTGTTAATAAGTAATTAAGTAATTCGTTATAATTAGTATACCTAACTAATTCAAAACAGTATTCAGCAGGCGTTTGTTTTGTAGCTACACTTGAATACCGTGAAATTTGTAATAACGCATTTCGTTCGATATTGAGTAAACTTGCGTTCATAACGAATTTATAATGATCACGATCGTATACAACCGTGGTAGCGATAAAAATAGATTTTGATAGGTTGAATACGTTTATGATTTCGTTCCTATATTCTTAGGTCTGTACTCAACTAATAGCGAATTAACCTCAAACAGAACCAATAATAATCATTATTTGCAATAAACGTAACGTAACCATATTTCCCTTAAAAACAGCTTCAATTTAAATAAAATGATAAACGCAAGTATTAATGTATTAAATTGTTCATTTTTAAGAATATTTTATTTAATACCAATGGCGCCACTAGTACTAAAACCAGTACCTTATTATTCTTAGTACAGTTCTAGTACTGAAAGTTGTGTTATAATGCTGTAAGTAATATCCATACTTTAAATTTTAAATAAAATAAAAACTACTCGTTACGACGTAAAAATCAGTATATTTGAAGAAAAGTTTGAATTTCTGTAAAATATAGTGGGGCTCCGCTAAAAATATTTGTATATTTTATTTAGTATAAAATTTATACTATCACAGGCTTTAAACAATTTTTTGTTGCAGCTTTGTTATAATATGTTACTGATTGTCTCCGCAATTTAAGTTTTGGTACCGAATTTTCCCTAAGGAAAATGTTGTTTCAAATCACCCCCCGAACCACCCCTTTCAAGGAATTCCAACATTTTTGGGACACCCTGTATATGTAGTGAAGTTTATTAAGAATAACAAATCTAGAAGATAAACCGAGCATTCTTGTAACGAATGGAAACAATTGTTGCGCTCAATATTATGAATACAATAAATTAATATAATTTAAGTGTGTGTGTCCCGCTTTAATACTTTTTTAATCATTTATTATTCCAATTCGTTTTAAGAGTTGTCACATTAAATTCATACATAGAAAATTTAATAATTTTGTTATTATATTTCATCTTTATAACACAAAACATACATTAAAAATATAATTATGTTCACGAGGATATATTCGTTCATATATATGAAAATCACAAGTAGTTTAATGTACTTCATCCAGTATGGTATTACATGCTAGAATACATGTTTTTAAAAACTAGAACACCGATTATTTTTGGAAAAACTGAGGTTATTCATGGGTTATTGATAATTATAAAATTTGCATAATTTATATAAATACTTTGGTTTACGTAGAAATCACTAATAGCATTTTACAAATTTATCAAATCAAATATTTTTACTCTATAACACTGTACTACCGTGCTAATTCAAAAAGGCATATCTCAAATGTTTCTTTCATGAGACTGTGAATCAATGTCGCGATGGTTCTTTAATTTTTCAGATATATAGAAAATTGATCGGTAGTGTGACATCCTTTATAATAAAAACTGTTTATTTTGAGATACACCTTCTTGACTTAGTACAACAGTATAACCAACCTTTTCCAATTGTTAGTGTAAAAGTAGTAAATTCTGATTATACATGGTAGATAGAAAATTATTATCTTTTTAAGTTTCAAATGCAATACAAAAAAAGAAGGATACAGCCTATAAATAGTATTCATTTGCTTACTATACTATGTCATAGATTGAACAAATGAAAGTAATCAGTTACGAACTTGAACAAACGTTTTAGTTTAGCATCCAAGAAAATTTAAAAATTGTACTTGTTTAGTCATTCCAACCAGGTGTTTACAACTCTCTTTGTACAGACGAATCTGTCTCAGTTGAATATCAACCTAATAAACTTTATTGTGCCTTGTTTCTGGCCCATCTATATTAATTTAACAAAATAAAATTGGAATGTGGTTCTGTATATGTTCTATATCTCATCATTTACTTTTGACTCATGGATTCTTGTACAAAGTTGACATAGCTGAATTTGTTTTCCATTACTTGTGCAACACTTTTTTTAACGAAGTACATTACAAATCAATAGTAGGAGTCAATTGGACGAGACCGGCAGTAGTTTGATGACTTAAGTGCAATCATATGCTCTACATTCGCGCAATCTGTACATTGAATGGTTAATGTTGCACATGACAGAACCTAAGAATTTGTTTTATCATTAGTTTTAACGAAACATGTATAATACTAATTTTTTGAACTTTGCATTTGCCATTATAAAACTGACAGTAACATTTACTGATATATACTCAGTATAATTTATTGAGAAAAGCTTTTAAGGAGCCAAACTGCAACAGGAATTAGTTTTTCGTGCAGTTTTGTAAAATGCTTTTGATTGCATGCTGAGGCCTTCAGATTTTGAAACTAGATCATCCAACTTCTCTCCTCTTTGAAGAACAGCCTCTAAAGTATTGTGCTACAAATCGCATAAGACAACCAAATAAGTTAATAACTTAAATTGGAACTCTATTACTATCATCTATCACCTTTTGTATATGTACTTACTAAAATGATTTTTGTTTCATCTAAATCATTTTGCATTTTAGTTAAAGCATCTGCTTCATTGGGATTTCGATACTTAGTTAAATATACAACAAGCTGTGGAAATTCGGTTGTAACTTCATTTAATGTTTCCCATGTCGAGGCTGGATACTTGGCAGCAAATTCATCCATAACCTTTGTGATAAGCGTATGTGCTACTCTCCTAGGGTACTCATGATCCGATATAAGAACCGCAGCAAGGTTATCAGCTCTTACATACACGTGACACATGTAATCTGTTAAAGAATCACAAAGAAAATCTCATTGTTATAGCGAAAAGGGATAAAAATAAATACTGTTCCTTAATAAAGTTACCTCCTTCCTTAACACTTTGCCTAGAGCTGATTTGAGTCCTCTCAACAATGGTTTTGCTTACAAAACTCATAAACTCTTTAACACTTGCTCTTTGAAAAAATGAAAATGATTCTACATCATAGGCAGACTTCATAGTCGTCGCAGATGTAGGATGTTTATATAAAATAGACAGTGCGTATAATTTTACCATTTTTTCGCTATAAAATAAACGGGCTGTTTATCGTTAGGTTAAACATTTGTTACTTTGTGCAGTGTATAAATCGTGTTAACAACCTGTCACAATTTTAACATACCAAAAATCTTAATTCGAAACATGCTCAAATATATACGCCTTAAACAATTGTTTTGATTATAGAAATCGATAACAATGAATTTACAACGATAAGGGGAAAGTTTTTTAAACGCATTACAATCAACTAGTGGAAAATATGTTTTTATTGAAAGATCCTAATGGGCCGAACCTACCACCAATTGGCATAAGCTTTTCCGTTGCTATAATTCTTCGAACACACTAAACGCGTATCAGACGTACATTAAATCACCTAATTGTTTATTTACAACAATGAGTTAACACTTCTTTATGTTTTCATTTACAACTACGATTACTTCAATTTTATATGATAAGGAGATCGCCATGTTGGCTATAGCGGTTCTCAAGTTATCAGTTCAATAAACTTTTTCGATTGCATATGGCGAGTGACAAGATCATTTTCATTTCATGACTATACGGGGTGTCTCAAAAATGTTGTAACACCTTGAAATGGGTGGTTCAAGAGGTGATTTGAAACAACTTTTTCCTTAGCGAAAATGTTAACAGCAGTGATGGACAAAACCCTAGGCTTTGAATAAATCTAAAGTTTGCCAATATGTTTGTCTCGTTTCTCCTGTTGAACATTTTCCAAAGAAGGAAACGGGAGAAACACATCGGCAAACTTCAGATTTATTCGAAGTCTAGGGTTTTGGCCATCGCTGATTAACAGAAAAGTCCAATCAATCAGCGGGCGCACCATTGGCATACTCGCGCTCTGATTGGTCGGGGTTTTCAGTTAATATCTCCTCAACGAAGCCTCGGACAACATTTTCGCTACGGAAAAGTTGTTTCAAATCACCTCCAGAACCACCTCTTTCAAGGACATCCAACATTTTTTGGACACCCTGTAATCAAAGAATTTTGTTGTTCGAACAGCGAGAATCGTAGCCCTCTGACGCCCAATTCGAGTAGTATGGTTACAGGGCAGCCCACAAATTGCTTGCAAACAAATCGGATGGTTTGCGACGAGATTTAAGTATCAAGCCGTTCGCACCGCTATTTTGTTCCATTAAACTGCGTTGGACGCGAGGAATATTCTTCCAATTAGCGCAAACGGAACGGAAGCGTGTCGAAAGAAGCGTGTATCATGGAATAAAAAAAAATGTGATTCGTCAAGAGGAGCAAAATTTGCATGGTGGAGGGGAGAGTGTCTCGACGACGAAGAAAGAGAGAAGTCTTGTGATTTTGTGATCGCCGATCGGCTGAAGCAAAGTGGCAGACGCTCGCGTCCCATGACAAGGAGAGGAGGTTCGATCGCACCGTGCTGCGTCATCGTAGAATGGGTGAGCACCACTATGCGAGCTCAACAAAATGCTTATAAATAATCGGTCTATTTGAAGCACGCGGGGCGTGTCTTCCACGGAGATGCAACGATTCACCATCGACCCTCCTCTTTATTTCGTTACCACCTTCTATTTTTCTCTTCATTGCATCGCCCCGACTCAATAACCGCGATGACACACCGGGGACGAGGCACGTTATCGGGTCCTGGTGTTCTCTCACTTGACATAGCACGAATTTTCGGTATTCAGTGATCTGGTGCAAGGCTCGGTAAAATTTGAAACAAAAGCATTGGAAATTATTTCAAAATTAACCATTAAAAGAGGATATATCATTACAAGGATGCTATAGCATACCACTACACATTTACCCAATAATTATAGTTATCTACAAGTCGAGTCTGTTAACATGATCTTACAAAGTCTACAAAAATATAAACAAAACATGTAAACTAATACAACAAAATTAATAATGGTTTCGTTTTCATTTGCCTTAGTTTGTCAGGAAACTCTGTGATACTCGTTGCTGTGATTAATATATATATGATTGTCTGTTTGTGCTCCAAGACACACAAGGAGGAATGTCCCGCAACACTGGACCTGGTTTGTACGAGTTCCTTATGGAAGCAGAGTTGCAGCAGTATTATCCAGGAATTCGAGGTACCAGGAATTACTCCGTATAATTGACTCGTGAATGCTTCCTTTATTCAAGTCTAATTACCTTAATTTACCTTTTGACAGGGGACTTGAAGGTACAGACAACCGCTCAATTAAAATATGTAACTGAAGAAGACTTGAACGCGATTGGAATGAGCAAACCAGAAATGCGTCGTTTGAAGAAGTACTTTCAGAAACATTTTCCTCAAAATTACCTCTCCAAATTCAAGAAGATGCTGTTGCCGAAACGCGAAGAACAAACTCCAGGTGTTTTGACCATGTTACCGGAAGAGAGACAAGACAGACCGCCTATTCGTGTTCCTAATAAACATATGATACCAGCAGATGCTATCATTGTAAATAAAGAACTGGGAATGGGAGAATTTGGAGTCGTGCAGCAAGGTGTTTGGACCAACGATGGGGAAAGAATACAAGTAGCCATCAAATGTTTGTCCCGAGAAAGGATGCAGAACAATCCCATTGAATTTCTGAAAGAAGCAGCGATAATGCACGCGATAGACCACGAACATATCGTGAGATTGTACGGCGTAGTCTTGGATACGAACTCTTTGATGCTCGTGACGGAATTGGCACCTTTGAGATCCTTACTCGAATGCCTGAAGGAGCCTAGTTTGCGACCTAGTTTTCCAGCTCTCTCGCTGTGCGATTTTGCAGTCCAAATTGCAGATGGCATGCAATATTTAGAAGCAAAGAGATTGATACACCGCGATCTTGCTGCCAGAAACATCTTGGTCTTCTCCAAGAACAAAGTAAAAATATCAGATTTTGGATTGTCTCGAGCTCTAGGGGTTGGAAAAGACTATTACCAAACGAACTTCAACGTGAATTTAAAACTACCAATAGCATGGTGCGCCCCAGAATGCATATCTTACTTAAAGTTCACTTCAGCCAGTGACGTATGGGCCTATGGAGTGACTCTATGGGAGATGTTCAGCTATGGTTTCCAACCATGGGCGGCGTTAACGGGCCACCAGATTCTAGAAGCGATAGACGAACCAAACTTCCAGAGATTAGAGCAGCCGGAGTGTTGTCCAAAAGATTATTTCTCGTTGATGCAACAGTGCTGGCAGCACGAGCCATCCAAACGACCAAAGTTCTCGGAATTAATTAACCTTCTACCTGACTTGAAGCCGGAACAAGTTCAAGCTGTTCAGGACAGTTCGGAGATTGGACAGCTCGTCTACAGGCAAGGCGATGTTATCACTGTTTTAGACAAAGGAAGCAGCAACACTTTATGGAAGGGTGTTTTGAATAGCGGGAAAACTGGGTTTTTTAATCCTGCTCATACGATAGCGTACCTTGGATCTAATTTACCAAGTAATAAACCTGGGGAATTCACGCGCGGGGATGGTAAGAATGCGTTCTCTTCTCAACGAAGAAAAATCAGGACGGACATGATTTCTTCGCCGCAAGGAGATTTGAAGCATACCGGTCATGTTGGACTGGACGGAGCTTACTTTGGCGATATCGGGTTCCTCGGTGGGAAGAATCCTCATTTACCAAGGCAAGTGGTAACTCCTTACAAACCACAGGAAGATGTAACAGACAATTCTAGTCAAGTTGCGAATCAAGATGCGAGAAATTCGGAGATGAACAGGGAATTATTGAGGGATAACAGGACTGCGCAGCAGGATACTCAAAGCAAGCATGGTAATTACGTTCGATCTTTTTTAAAACATTTATCGCTGTGCAAACAGAGATGGGGGTATTCATATTCATAAATATGAATATGAATTAATTCACATCATGCGGATTTGTGAATATGAATATGAATAAAATTATCAATAAAAATAGGAATAACACGTTATTCACATTTTTATTCATAAATAGCGCGTTATTCACATTTTTAGTTATAATTAACTCTTCATTAAATAACGTTAATCACTTACTTACATTGTTTACTATCTTACAGAGAATCGTTTTCACTCCAACCAAATGGGTAATTCCAAAAATTATGTAATTTATGCAAATAAAACAATCATTGTTGTTATTATTATAAAAAAAATTATAGTTGTGTTAATAAACACGTATACAAAACTCTGGAATATGTTTAAGCACCTTGGATAATGCATTAATGGCACACTTTTATTAAGTGAATTGTAAACCTCTCTTAAGCTGATGAGACCAAATTACTGTTTGTGGTACGAATTAGTACAAAATAAGTACTACAAAATATTCCACTAAGTCGGACATGATTTTGCTGATTTGATTCTGCCAGCTTAAGAGAGGTTTACAATTCGCTTTGTCGACCAGTAGCCACCATATATCACGTGTTGTCATGTTTCTTAGGATACCGACAAGCTTGATGGCAAACTTAGGCGATGAGGAAATTGAAGAATAAACTTACTTAATTTTTGTATTTACTTTTGTCCAAGTCTGCGAAATTAATTTTTTTCTCCCTGGAGTGAAAACGATTTTGCGTGGGATAATAAACAATGTAAGTAAGTGATTAACATTATTTAATGACGAGTTATTCACATTTTTATTCATAAATAGCGCGTTGATTCATATTCATATTTATGAATATGAATACTTCCATCTCTGCAAATAACAAAACTTTTCCCAACTAAACCTTACGTTATGTTTTCTACGTTAGAAAGTTTGTGGTCCGACATAGGCTCCGAAGTATGCCATGTAGGAGCTCTGGCTAATTCAAGTACACAGTCTGTGTCAACGAACATGGCTAACAGTACCGATACTCTTGGCGCAGACCATGAATACCATGAAATTAGCGACGAAGAAAATCAAGATAGTCCTCTACGATTCGATAAAACGTTAAATTTTGATTTTGGACCAAGTTTATTGGCTGAAATGGATCAAATGTTTAGATCATTAGGTAAGTTCATCAATTCAGAGGTGATATTTGCTTTAACCGTTATAGTACATATTCGTGCTTGTTTATTAGGATCATCACCTCCTCCACCACCGTCTGCTCATCCTCTATCTACAGAACACGAGTCGAGCAATGTTAGAAACGAACTAAGAGAGATTCAAGCGAAGCAATCTAACAAGAAAAAACAAGCCACCGTGAGTCCAATAAATGTACAGTAATATTTTTTTTCTTATTTACAATTACGCTTTTACGTGTTCTTAGTTGTTATTTATTTTTTATTCATTATTTGCTGCTGTGTACCATGTTTTCTTATACATATTGTACGTATTATTCGCATGCGAAGGCATAGGACCCGAGATTCTTAGTATTCAAGAACAGAGTTAGCGAATATATTATGAAAGATAGACACACAGTACATTTTTTGTATGAATAAATGAATACGCAGCATTTACATCACGAAAAGCAGACAATATTTACTATATTATCCACTGACCAGAGATGGTAAACGTTTCTCTTATATTTAGGTGAAGCCTATCTCAGCCGCCGATCAGAAAACACTCTACTCAGCCATTGCTATGGCACAGGAATTGACAGCACGTTCCATG